AGACAAAATGATGTGTGCATAGGAAGGAATGTGAACTGTCTCTGAGCTTTCAACTATTAACTCAGGGTTTGAACAATGTGGAGAATGGAAGTTAATACAAACATGCCTGTAATGTGCTAAGCTCTTTGCTCTAACACTGGTAACTGCTAATGTAATTAGAGAAAATGCTTACAGCAGTGCAGGGGTGAGCCAAAAATCATTCAGTGTTTGCTTATTTAGCAATACACAGACAGTGATATGAAGGAGGTCTATAATTTGGAGGATTAGTATGTTAAAGTGTATTGATATTTGATGTGAACACTGCAAATGTCAGACTGAGTGACTTTCCTTCACAAAAAATAGATGCATAAATAAATGTCTTAAAAGGAAGTTTCCACTGCCTCTGTGGTTTGGTTACCAAAAAGGTATTGGTGGGTAATTTTCTATAAAGCAGAAGGTAAATAGGAAGTTGTTGCAAAGTAGAAGGTCTAACCAGAGTGCTAGCATACGAATCTTAAACTAAGCGCAACTGCATGACTTCATGATCTGTTTAGTGGTCAGGCTTTGTAAGCTACCAGCTGCAATCCCTAATAAAGGCAATGAAAAGAATTGCAAGAAAAACTGTTGAAAAACACTAAAGTTACCAGGACAAATGGATTTCTGTATGTCTCATTAAATATATAGATTCTCGTAATATCACTGCCCCATGAAATTGCCTTGCACGGGAAAACCATGACAAAGACCAAGACAAAGCTTTTCTAATATAATAGCTCACAAGAGTTTGAATGCAAACCAGATTACTGGTGCATAAACAGAGAGCTTTTGATTTTCAGAGAAATTATCTTCCTTTAAGGCTCTTCAGAGTCACACAATTTTTTTCAAATTTTGCTTTAAAGAGTTAAATTCTCATAAAGGACACCAAAATAATGAGCATTTAGGCTATTTTTTTGCCATTGCAAAGATCAAATGCCAATTCTGAAATTATGTGCACTGCATATCACTTTTCATCTTTAGTAGCTTTTGTAGTTACTGCCAGATTGCACATACGGTACAAAAATATATGGTACCATCACAACGTACTTGTTCTATGAGAGCAGAACTATGTTCCCTGTATATATCTGGGGCAGGAAAAAAAAAAGCATCAGTGCTTTAAAACTTACAGCTTAACTCTTTCCACTTACTATTAACAAACAGATAGTACTGAGCTACGTAAGACTGAGAGGCTAATATGGCAGACCAGTTCAATTCCCAAGAAATAATGGTTTTGCAGCTTCTAGTATGGGAAAGCTTCAACAACTAGCTAAGCAAGTTGTGAGGTTTACATCATTTCCTTTAGGAAAGGATTCCACAGATACACAAATCCCTGCCAAAATACTTGTTTTAATTACTGTACTTAAAGCTTCCCCTCTCATAATTAACTATCTTCTTTTACCTCTTAGTTTCTTCTCCGAATAGCATGTCTAGATTTCAGACATATACTAGTTGTTCACATTTTAAACTGATGTGGCAGAACATTGACTAGATTTGCATTTTAACACTTCACCCTTCACTCATTGCTACAATCAGTTTCTGTGACTGGTGGCTATGACATCTGAATCCCAGGAAACTCAGACCCAGTTCCTCAACCCACAAAAAAAAAAGTTTCCCCCATGACTAGAACAAGAAATTTAACGTCTTTGCACTTAAAAGGAACTGATAATACCTTTTCTACCACATCAAAACCTGAGGACAGAGATCTTAAAGACCCCAAAGTGGCAAAATACAACAGCAATACAGGCCATAAAGGCATTCAGAAAAGAACAAATGCAGCCATGACTCCAAACAGCAAAAAAATCTCCTACAAAACAAATAAATAAAATTGGAAAATTCTACTCAATACACCAGGTGATTTTTGTTTTTTAATGAGCTACATCCTGTGTTCTATGAAATGAATGTGAACACAAAGTTATATTTTTACAAAACTGAGTGAAAATAAACAGTTGGCATTACCTGTATCTTCCAAAAAATACTGCACAGCCATCAGCACCTTCCCCTGAGGTTGTAGATCAAGCTGCAGAAAGAAAGATACCAGCAGTGAAGTATGCAGTCAACTGAAACTCAGGAATTTAAACAATTCTTTCTAGGGAATCAAAGTATAATATTCAATAGCTATTAGATTACAACCTTCTTCTAATATCTCACTGCTGCAGCTGAACCAGGGGTGTTTATCCTGTTGCTTTTACTAGCATGCTGCATTTCTTTGATATCTACTCAAAAGTTCAGTGCAAAGTTCACATTGTTTTTGCATGTCCTTTTCCCATTTCTGCAAAGAAGTTTCCTATCTTCTGTTTTTACTATTATTAAACTCAATTTGCACAGGAACCCTGCTTTAAAAGAAAGAGCCTATACAATCCTTTATATGTTTATTGACAGTACAAACCATAGAGATATCAAATACTGTTGTCTATAATCTGAAAAACAGTGGTATAATCAAGATCTATTTTACTTTCCTCTTCAAACCACATGGTTTCTCCAGCAAATTCAACGGACCAGCAAAAATAAATGCCTTTTGAGCCAACAGCTGAGGTCACTTCCTGCACTCAGAAAGCAGCCGTTAAATCTGCTGCCATCATAAGCGTAAGAAGCTATTAAGCATGAGAGTTTGATTCAGTCTTCTCTTCAGCACAGAGCAAAATAACCCCTGCGTTAGCTGTAAATACATGTTGGGATGGGGAAAGAAAAAAGAAACACTACACCAAAATAACCCCCACAGCTACATTAGATAGACCTGTGACTCTATCTCCACAAATCCCATTATCCTACTGGGATAACAGCTAAGTTTTTATCTTCAAGGCAATGTCTGACACTCAAAAACATTTGCACAACAAAGCTTGGAGAAGGCAAAGACCTCAGTTACAGCTACTACTGATGGGCTGTCTCTCCACACACAAAAATAACCTTACAGGCTGTGGTAAGCAAACTATTGTCCCTGTGGGGCATGATGGGTTGTCCAATTGATGACTGAAGTTGTATAGAGGAAGTGTAATGCTGATGACATCTGTGTGATACCTGTCCTAGAGATAATAGGCAGAAGACTTCAGGCCACTGAATCAGCTAAAACTGATCATTATTAGTTTTAACTACTCTTCTGAATAATGGCTTGTCTCAGAATTCAAGTTAAGGCATGGAAAAAAGAGTGTGTGATTTCAGAATGTAACAGGTGAATACAAACATGTGAGATCCTGCCAACCTAGCAAAATCTGTAAGCCCCTTCAATATAAAGCATGCCTTTAGGAAAAGTTTTCTCTGAGGTCTGCGCAGTGAAATAGCTACATTTGCACAAACACAGAGCAAAACCCAGCCATTTACAGCAAAAATGGACTTGAGAAAGAAAGGGAGTGTTTTTTAAAAATGTCTTCCCATGCTAAGTTAAGGGACAACTGGATACTCCCTCCTATTCATATCAAGTTTCAGGAAAAGCATTATTATAACCAAGAACAACACTCATGTAGCCAACCCCCACCAAGGAAGTGCCAGCGTTGCTTTGTAAGAAATCACACAGATATCCTGATACTCCCCCCTCTGATCCTTATTTCCCCTTTTGGAGAAGTGTTGAATATTCAGGACACTGACTAGAGCTGCTTCAAGGTTTTATAGTTCTCTGGGACAATAATACTGCATCACATTCTCACAACCCTATTTATTGGGACTAGGATCTCAGCAACTACAGCTGGGTCCAAAAGCTGAAAAAGAAGCTAGAGAGTAGGATCCTATATAGATGACATCATTAAACCCTTAATTAAAAATTCTTCACAACCCATCAACTAAATGCATGAAACATGTTCAGCATTTCAGAAAACTGGGCTCAGAGTTTTGATCCTGCAGGCCTCTGTCACCTTCCCCTCTCCCCAGATGCACAAAATAAAAAATATAAGCAATTTTAAATTTTCTGTTTATTTGAGGTTCAAGGTGCTAATTGAAATTCATTATGTACAACTATTTAAGAGCTGTTACTTGGGTTTAGGTAGTTTGACAACTACCAGCATTTAGAGTAAATTGAAGATTCCATTAAAGACTTTTTTTTTTTTAATGCTACAGGAGCAAATACCACTTGGCAAGATGTCATACCCCTTGCTTTCACATATAAACAATTGTCTGGGGCACTACGGAAAGAAAAGACACCAGGATAACAGCACCAGGGATTAATGGATCCCCATTATAGCAGCATCAAGCCAAGTAAAACTTATTGTAGAAAATGAATAGATAAAATTAGAAATTCTAAGTGGAAATAGTCTGGAATAAGCTGCATGTTTTCCTCTGGATGAATTGCAATGATCTGATCCAATTTAAATGCCTGCTATTTGCTATAAAACCTGCTAGGCTTTATTAAAGAGGGGCTCAGCGAGATATATGCCATTATTTCAAACACTGATGCCATGGATTTTATTGTCAATTTCTTTGACTTTGATTGTACATTACCTGCTTAAAAAATGCTGCTAAAATAATTGTCTTACAAGCCCTGCCACGCGTGCTAAAGGGATAGAACACTCATAGTTTAAAAGACATAAGGCATCCGTTCAGCTTCAGAAGAAGATAACCAGGTCAGCAAGTTTAAGGACTTAATCTTCTTCCTTACCCAGAATTCTGCTTTGCCATTGCCTTTCTTGCATCGCTCTGCCAGGACTGACACACCCACAGTCACTTCAGACAATGGCTCCTCTGCTGCTTTCATGAGAACAATCTGAATCACCCGTCCCTCGTAAATATGGGCATCAAATGTTGATTTCCATTCTGGATACATGGTGGGTTTCTTCTGAACTAGAGTTTTTCCTCTCTCTGAAAGCCACAAAAAAGAGACAGAAAATTTAAAATCAGATGATGTAGAACTAGCGCTTAAACTCAACAAAATAATACAGAAGAGAAACCTTACACTGAAACCAAAAGCAGACTTATTACTTCTTGTCCTGTGGTTGGGACAAAGTTTAAATATTTGATTCAAACATTCCTGATGTGGAAGGCAAAGCTCACCCTGACAAACAGGGCATGCAAAGGCAGTGGTGGTCTTAACATGCAGCCAGAGAAACCATGAGGGAAAAGTCCCATTCTGGAATTCAGAAGCTGGTTTAGTCAGTCACAATTTGACAGGCAATACTTGCATAGCTCCTTGCTGGTATAAATCTCCATGACGTGTCATCTGAGCATAGTGAACATCTACTAACGTAAGATAAATTAAGATACATCTTACACTGACCCAGTTTAAATTGAAACCAGTGGCTGAGAGATTAAAGGCTTCATATTTCATTAATCCACTTCCAAGTTATCCCAACATTTCACTTCTATTCATAAGTCACTTGCCTTGACATTGTACTCTCCTCTCTGCCATGACTGCTACTTTTTAAAGGATATTACAAGACCTTATCTGTCCTCTCTAGCACATACAGACCTTGTATTGTCAAAGAATAAGGAGAAGGCTGAAAGGACCTCAAAACAAACCTTTCTGGTAAGATTTAGCCAGCACCTCCACAGACTCCTTATGAGTTTTACAGTGCTTCACTATTCTTATTAGATGGATTTTTTTCTTAATATGCAGCTTCAGTCTGCCTCTTGCTACCAGTTAACCTAATTCACTCCTGTCCTTATCTCAGGCTCAGAAAACAGCTAATGACTGTGTGATCTATAACAAGCTTTAGCATATTTCTAGACCCAGGTCTTTTAGTAGTACCATCAGCACATCCAAAATGATATTGCCTCCTAAGCAACTGCATCTGGCTCTTCACTGTGACTCTGGCACGTGATGCCATCTCCTCACTTCTTCTCTGTGTTTTGCTCCCAAGCAAATTATTCCCCATTTGTGCTCAGGTAACTGAATATAATTTTGTGCATTCTGCAGAATTTCTGCTATTTATGAAGATCATCTGCTGCCATAAAAGTGCTTTCTAAGTGCCTCTGCAGCTCTGAATGATCCATTTTTCCCCCTATGTGTGTTATATATTCTTATGATATCATGGCAGTAGCAAAGCAGATCAAATCGTTGGACCCTTCCCCAAGAAGCTGCAGCATGGTCTAGTTCCTAAAATTGGCAATAGAATTTACATTCACTTCAATGAAGTAAAATTTAGACAGTTATTTAAAAATCTTCCTGGAAACTCAAGGCAAAGTTTGTGTTCATTCACTAATAACTTGCTTGATGCACTCCACTCAATTGTGCTGAGCTATCCAAACAAGAGGAGCAAATAGTGTCCTTGGATGTCTGTATTAGGGAATAGCTGCTAACAACAGTGTTACAAATTACAACTTTGACAAGCATTTCTAAGCCTGCTTGCCAAAGGGCATTCTGAAATGCTCAGAAACAGCCACCTGAGAACCTCCTTCATTTCAATGCAAACTTTAACATTCCTCCTCTACTCAGTCAAAAGCTTTATCCTGAATTTAGGGAACTCTGCAGAAGGGAAAAACTTGAATTCTTAGCAGTGCAAACCTAGTTCCAGAGCCCTGTACTTGATGTTCGTAACTATGGAAGAATTTGGAAATATTATGGTGAAAATATTAAAATATTTAAGCAGCTCAGACAAAATACAATTTTGAGGTTAATAGGACTTAATAAAGGCAAGTGGGAATTAAAAATAGACTGTCTGCACAGCAAGGCTTTTACACTAGCCTATTTTTTCAATCGCTAAAGCCAGACCACTTCATTAAAAAGGCAAAGTGCAGGAAGCATACCTGGGAATTGGACAAATTGCACCTTCTTGCAGAACCTTCAACAATAATTTAGGGTTTTCAGAATCATAGAATCATTAAGGCTGGAAAAGACCTCTAAGATCATCAAATCCAGCTGTCATCCAACACTACCATGACCCCAGGTGCCACATCGATATGTTTCTTGAACCCCTCCAGGGACGGTGACTGCACCACCTCCCTGGGCAGCCTGTTGCAATGCCTCACCACTCTTTCAGTAAAGAAATTCTACCTAATAACCAATTGAAACCTCTCCTGGCACAACTTGAGTCCATCTCGTCTTGTCCTATCACTAGTAACCTGGGAGAAGAGACCAACACCCACCTCACCACAGCCTCCTTTTAGGAAGCTGTAGAGAGCAATAAAGTCTCCCCTTAGCCTCCTCTTCTCCAGGCTAACTGATTCCATTTCCCTCAGCTACTCCTCACAAGCCATGTTCCCCAGACCCTTCATCAGCTTTGTTGCCCTTCTCTGGACCCACTCCAGCACTTCCATGTCCCTCTTATATTGTGGTGCCCAGAACTGAACGTAGTAATTAAGCTCTGGCCTCACCAGTGCTGAGTACAGGGGCACAATCACTTCCCTAGTCCTGCGGGCCACATTATTTTTGATACAGGTCAGGATGCTGGTGGCCTTCTTGGCCACCTGGGCACACTGCTGGATCACGTTCAGCCAACTGACCACCAGAACACTCAGGTCCTTTTCTGCTTGACAGCTTTCCAGCCACTCCTCCCCAAGCCTGTAACATTGCCTGGGGTTGTTGTGACCAGAGTGCAGGACCCGGCGCTTGGCCTTGTTGAACCTCACGCAGTTGACCTCAGCCCACAGATTCAGCCCATCCAGACCCCTCTGCAGAGCCTCCTGACCCTTGAGCAGATCAACACTCCCACTCACTTCGGTGTTGGCTGCAACAGCGTTTCATATTCAGAAAAGCATCATCATTTGTAACCTCACCTGTAGTCAGTGCTTCCTTCATCTTGATAGCACAGAAAGGCTGTAGTTGTTCCCCTTGATTCTGCACAGGTCCCAGCTCAAATGAGTTGAAAGATATCCTTAAGAAGGGGGCCATTGCCACAGTGAGACACAACCTAAGTGGAAAGAAGTAAATAAAAAACACAGAATAAAAGATGTGGTCTCAGACTTGTAAGAAAGTGATATGCATTTCTCAGCAGCCATCACAGCTGATACAACCCATCCTCTAAAGTCTGCAAGTCTTGAGTGCAGCTTTTAGACCACCAGCCTGAAGTAAAACTGGCATGTACTGAAACAAAAAACGTAACATGTGCAAAGACTGAATTTAAGACACCCTTTTAACCATACCCTGTTAAAGTAAAATCCTTGGAAGTAGCAGCCATGCCTTGACGTAGATCTTGCTCAGTTTTTAAACAGAGACCCTATTCATTAATACACAAGTATATAAACATTCTTCTCAAATAAATAGTTTACAAACGAACAGACAGACTGGTTGGTTGCTTGGGTGTTTTAAAAACTATTTTTCCCTCACATCTGGAATGGAGAGTGGGTTGGGGGAAAAAGGGAGGTAGAAGAGTGTTGTCTGTTTCACGTGTTCCTTTCCCAGTATCTCTCACAAAGCCAGGAGGGGGAACTAGGAGCAAAATTAATCATCAAAAGTTCACAATATTATGTTGCTCTTTAGGAACACATTCTTTTCTTTTGATTTGGTACACAGCCTCAAAAATTCCCAGACAGAATTCTAGGCACCTCAACAGGCAATCAAATTATAAAAGGAACACTTTTAGTCAATTTTATTTTTGAAGATTATCTGAGAAACTACTGAACCTACATATAAAAAGAATTTCTGGACTTTGCAGAAAAACCCAGTACCAGATGCACAGTAAGGGGAACGTGTCCTTAAGCACGATCAGGTAATTGTAGTGCATTTGAGTACTTGATGGACATTAACGACCTGAAGAATTGGTCCATACATGAGTTCACTCTTGCTTTCTCAATTAAACAAACGCAGTTACAGAAATTTCTGAAACCTAGGTATTTTACTGGGTAAGTGCACATTTTATTTCTCATACTTAATATGGAAAGCAACAGACACCACCAAACTGAAACAAGTATAAAGTCACACAACATCTATTCAAGCCCTGCTTTCAGATGGCTGTGTACTAATCCTAGGAGGCACAACAGAGTTAGTGACTCAGACTGTGACCCTTGATACCTGCACAGCAGCCAAAAGGAGGAGGAAGAACAACTCCAGCACTGCTGTGTCACCTGGTTTAAACTGTCAGGAATTACAAGAATCCAAAAGACCTGTCACTTCTACGACAGCAAACTGGTGTTTCACTACAGTCTTCTCTCACTCTTAAGAGCCCTGTACCTTGTATGTCAATATTGGTTTGTGAAGCAAACATTACTTATTCAAAGAGCAGGAGAAAACAGTCATTTGATAGCAAGGGAATGCTGGTGTGATCAGAGAATGAGGGATGGGGAAGGAGGGATCAGGAAAAAAGAGTTAAAAATGTAACAGGAAGTGACAGAAAAAAGAAAAAGAATTAAAAATGGGCTGAACTGGCTTTTTGACTGTAGATTGTTAACCAGCTCTGTCAAGCAGCAATAGAAAAACATTTCAAGCAATCCTGCATATGCTTGCATTTTTTTAATGAAAAGACATGAACCTGAGAAGCAATTCATAGAATCATAGGGGTTGGAA